GGATGAAGTGACAAGACTTCTTTCTTGGGGAGTACTCAACGACTTAGACAAAGCTGGAAACTTTGAGGATAGATACTATCTCAGGACACTGTGCCGGCCTTAGAGAATTCCTATTCATAATGCAAGTATTTGTTCTTATTCTCAGAAAACTCTGCTTCAGGAATACACATGAACGTGACTGGCAGCTCTGCAGTATTAACTTTCCCTGCAAAACTCCTTATTATTACATATTTGAAAGAAGTCTTCAATATTTAAATATGTATTTTAGGATATAATAACAAAATTCTTATTTACTTAAAAAAGACTCATGCCCAAATTCCCACATAGGAGATAGGTGATCTAAATTTGTGAGCATAAAATTTTCTAATTACTCTTATCTAATTACTATTATGTATATATATGATATGTATACATTTATAAAAAATATCGTAAAATATTTATATAAAATATATATACACAAATATTCTATAAGCAGACTAATTGAGCATCAGTATAGAGTATACTAATATAAGGTACTTTATATTTGAAAGTAACATGACAGAATTATTTTTTGCCCATTTTAACTGCAGTGTAGGTAATGGCCCCTTCGGTATATATTCTGTGGCTGCTATGAACGAACCCCCATTCAGGCAGTCTTTAGAAATGAGCTTTGAAGAAAGGTTGGTAAAGTACCCCTCATCTAGACCATTGGAATAAAATATATCACATCATTGTCCAGCCATGTCTAGTTGTCAAATGAAATGTAGTTGTTTGTAAAGCAACCAGCAAAAAGCTTCTCAAGGGCATTTACCGATCTCCACTTGAGTTTGTAGAAAAGGGGACCTTGTTGAAGTGAGTCGAGGTCTGGTGTAGGCCGGTCAGTGCTGGTAATCCTGAGGGGAGGGTGCCCAGCGCATCCTGCCGTTCATGTGGTGTTTTCCAGGAGATGGCTGCAATCAGTCATCTCACAGATGGTTTGAAAAAGGCTTGTCTTGCTGGCAAGCAAACTGTTATTTAAGTACACAATCCACTCTACTACTGAAACAGTTTTGCCAAACTTATCCAAGTATTCTAACATGCTTAAAGATGGTATAAATATCATTTATTGCTAGCAGTTTTCTTCAGACTATATGGAATGTCTTCCTGCTGCCTGATCTAAGTGTCCCAGTTTACATTATGGCCTTTACTGCCTCTGTTTGATGGAGTGATCAGTAAAAATTTAATGACACTATAAAATAATAAAAATGTCATTAATTTACCACGGATCTTGGATGCAGTGGTTGTAAAGTTACATTAATAAACAGAATATTTTTTACAACAAAAAGCATTGTTACGGGGGAACGTATAAATAACACACATAAATTTAAGAGCAATTTTACTGATAGCACACACATTATTATGGAATAGCCAATAAGTGTATAAAACATAGTATATAAAATTTTATTAAAATATACTGTGCACATCAAAAATTCAGCTTTTATCTAAGTGCAAAGAAAAGCCATTATTGTGTGCTTACTGTTTCATTGCTGTTCTTTCCCCATATCACAATTTTACATTTGTTGCCAGTAAGAGGAAGTTGATTTTTTTTTCTTAGATGGAAGCAAGGCTCTGTTCTTTTAGTCACCCCAAATCCATTCTCTTTCTCCACCGATGCAAAAACAAAATTGATCAATCTTGCCATGGTAGGGAGGGAGAAGTTGCTAATTTAATGCAAAGTTAAAAATAATGCCCAAGGAATTGAATGGTTTGTTCAGTGACTCTGGAAATAAGGGATAATAATGCAGCAGTCTATCTGTCATCAGTGAGGCTGCCCCATCATTGACTCTGATAATATGTGAAGATGATGGATGTCAGCGTCTTGTGGCTTGTGGCATTGAACATCCATCAGCTCTCACTAAAGGGGGCTTTATCATTTCAATATCTTTACTTAATATGCAACATCTATCTCATACATCATAATTTCAAAGCACTTAAGAGAGCCAACAGTCCTACAACACAGCAGAGCTGACTTTCAGACTTTAATTTTTTTCAGTAACTTTTATGTTGCCTGCATGTTTTGTGACTGACAATGCATAAGTAAGTGTCTGATGACATCGCTGCATGTAAAATGCACATTGCGCCGTCAACATGAAGATTGGGGAATTTTCCTGGGGGGGGTTGAGATTCAATTAACATTAAGCTATTTTGCTTACATCTCCAAAATATCTTACCTGGGAGATGTACATTGTGAGAGCTAGTTCAAGTGCGTGGAAAAATCTGGAGCGAAGAACATGCCTCCCGCTGTCTATATGTGGTTGATATAGGGGCATACCCATTGGCACTTAATGGCCAGAAGTTGAAGCCTCTTGGAACTGAAGTATCTTTGAACGAAACTCTGTGCCCATATCCACAATCCTGTATTTACCAGGCTCATGTTCCACTTCACTGGTAAAATCTTTGCTTAGCCCAGCTGCCTGGAGCTAACTTGTAGACATCAGGCCCTCTTCTTATCTTATGGTTATGTGGCTGGCAAATAAATATTCTGAGCTATTCTTTGAAGAAGGAAATCTTCTGGGAGACTAGGTAGAAATTTATATGAAAGGGCATGGCTTTGCAGGGTCCTTCTTTAATCTCAAACACAAGTGCTTAATATTACCAAATATAAAATGCAGCCCACTGCCCCAAACAATTTTTATCATTGATTTATTTTCTGCCTGTTTAACAAGTGTTTCATGGGATATTCTTCCTTGACTTCTACTCTGTCAAAATATTGATATTTTATAAGGAAAGTATCTCTGCAGAAGAATGTTTTTTTCAATGAAGTCAGAAAAATGTATGACTTCAAAGACACTGTGAATGTGTTGTTGAATGTTCTGAATGTTTTTTGTTATGATTAAAAACAAGCTGATAATACTGAATTGTGAGTGCACTTCATTTTTTATAAAAGAAAAGATATTATCATCATGTAAGCTTTGTTGTCTTAGGATTTTACAAACCATGGCATGTAATTTTCCCTCTTCTCCTTCCTTGTCAAAATATTGATATTCTTTCAGGAACTTTATTTTTTTTTTACTGAGAATATTTTCCGGTAAAATCAAAGAGAATGAATGACTAGAAAGATACTTGAAATATGCATATTGATAGGTAGCACGGTCTGTTGATTTTCAGAGAAAGTTGTTTTTCCCCCCATGAAAATACAGCTAAAGGTTGTTCTTCCAAGAAGATTGCAGGTGTCACATCAAAACTCCTTTTGCATTTAACACAGGGAAAGCATTCACATGCAAATATTTGAAATGCGGAACAATGTGATAAAACAAAGGTTGAATATTTTGCTTTCCCTGGTACTACTCATCTTCACTTTAATTCTTTTTCTTTACATCATGACAACCAAAAGTGCTACTCCAAAATAGAAATTGGCTGATTAAAAGCAGCTGTCCTTCCCTCCCTCCCCCCCACCCCGGCCGACAATGTGTGAAACTCCCACATGGCTTGTGGTTGCTTTCTGTCGTGGCCTGCATCTGGGTTAATTTGTTCTTGTGCTGCAGTGTTTTCACATAAGAAGATATTGGGGAACCATGCCTAATTTGCTTTTTATTTTCATTCTGTTTTTTATAAGTGTCGTATTTCAGAGGTTTGCCCATAGCCCACTATTGTAACCAGTTAGCATTACCCAGTTGGGGAAATTCATGATTATGATTTTGCTGCAAATCTTTCATAGACGTGGTGCTAGATTGAAGCAAGGTTTATGCTATGTTTTCTTCCAACACAGATTTCAACATACTCCACGATGAAGGGGAACTGGAAGACTTCCTGCACAATTTGACTGATGGGAATTAATTATAGAAATATAATGATATTCAAAAATAATCATATTAGAAAGCACAAATGTAGTGAGACTGTACAAATGAGACACAGCCTCTATCAAGTAATTGTATGTTTGCTCTTTAAGAATATTTCCAAGTTTCTAAACATCTTACAGAAGAGAACACTCACAGAGTGTTTCCATCTAATGCCGAACATGCTCAGTACAGAACTAGGTCATTGAACAATAGACTGAACAGCAATCAGCACTCTACTGCTGCATAATGCATTAAGTATAACATGCAGAAACCATTCCCGGAGCTGGAAGCTGCTATTTCATGTCTGTAAATTCAAGCTGACATGACATTTAATATTGTTTCATAGTAATGAACAACAAGGTCTCATTCATTCATAAGCACCACACAAAGCCAAGTTTGAGTCTGGAGAGTAGCGAGGAGGCGAGAAGGGGACACGCGCTGTGTTTTTGCAGACAAGAACACCATCTTAGTGACGGTCAGTGAGCCCTCGGCTACTGATCCAGAGAGCGGCAGAGGGAGAGTTCAATGTGATATGTCAGGCTCCTTCTCCTAGAAGAGCTGGTTAACAAGTATAACATCTTTGAGTTTCCCTCCTATAGCGGCAGGAGATTTTCACTTTCCTCACTCAATGGCTGGGCTAGGAGTAATCTCCTTTTTACTTCTCGGGGAAGTTACAGTGGAAACTCCTAAGCAAAATAAGAGCATCAACGCCATCATCTCGTCTGCCTGCTTGGAAACATTTGTTTTTGAAATCCTCTTGCCTAAAATACTGATTTGTATTTTCCCAGGAATACCAATACGAACTGTGATCTCTAATTGAGAAAATTCCTCTCCCGTTAATTAGCAGTAGATTTTAATGGGAATTGCTCTTTCAAGTTTTGCACTGCAGGCTCAAACCTTTCACTTGCATTCCTTTTAGACTACTGGAGCAAATCCCAGTGAGAGAAGATGCTCAGTGCCGCCCGGTGGGCTTCCTGGCGCCGGTTTCCTTCCCTTGCAGGTACTCTGCTTTAGACGCGGTCAGCACTGTGGGTGCCACCGTCAGGCTTTAGCGGAACCTTCCTGAAAGCTTTTCTGAGCCCCTAGTTGATCAGAAATGATGTTTGTAAATCCAAGTTTTGCCCACAAAGCAAGATAGAAACTGGAAGGAAAAAGGGGCTGCTTCGGAAGCTAGAATAAGCCTCTGATTATTCTTTCCTCTAGGAAAGAACACGCTTTGAGAATTTGGGGCCCCAGTTAACAGGAAAGTCAAGTGAAGATGGAAAGCTGGGCCCCGGTGTCATCGATCTTACGCGGCCAGAAGATGCAGAGGGTGAGTGGCTTTTCCGTAGCTCTTTTCTGCTGCTCTGGGCGGTTGTGATGGTGCAACTGAGTTAGCTCTAGGACCTTCTACGGGCTTTCCTGGGAGTACCGGTTGGATTCTTTTTGGCAAAGCAGAAGAAATTTTATCCTCCATTATATATTATAGCTGAGGACGTTGAGAGGTAGCTAGATCCTATATTACTGAACACATAGCCATTCAAGGACTTCAAGGTGCCACTTTCCGGTTTTCAAATAAAAGGGCCCTCTGCATTCCAGTGAGTAACAGAATCCTATGTGTCATCCATGTCACTGAATTCTTGTTAAAAAAGGACTAACATACAAAGGAGGATTTTTTTTAACCCTAAATCGAGTGAGTCCCAGGAGCAGTCAAACCATTTTGGGAACTCAATGATGGTTTACAGCAGATCTCGCATAAAATTAATAATTGCTCAGGCAAGGCCCAGCCTGTGCCTGAGCAGCAAGCATTACTAAAATCTTTTGAAAGTCTGGATGGAAAGACCAGCTTCGCTCTCAGTGGGTTTACCCACAGCACTATCAATGCCTGTCCACCTCTCTTCCCTTTTTGTTTGTTTGTTTTAAATGCACAAGCAGCAAATCAGCAGAAATTGCTCCCCAGAGGCTGGGTACAATTTATGAGTTAGGTCAGCACTTCAGTAGTAATGTTGCCTGGTTATTTACTGTGTCATCACAGAGTAGGGACTGGTTTTCCCGTTAGCTGTTCCTTTGGCAGAATCCCTCCCACCAGTCAGGGAAGATTAATTTGTTCTCTTCAGAGTAACACAATACTTCACCCAACTTGGGTCCCAGCTGAAGTTCTTTAGTTTGAGGAGACGAATCTTACTATTATCCTTTACTGGCAGAATTTCTCCCAGGACCCTAATCCCCTGAAAATGCACGAAGACATTTCATAGCCACATCTGAACTGGGCCTGGCTTCTGGTGAGAGCTTGGGACCAGCCCGACAGTTCAGAAATTCCTGGCATGAGCGCTAAAAAATGGACAGTATCAGACATTAGGAAGCACTTCAGAGTTTCCAGAAGGCAGATTTTTTTAATACAAGTAGGAGAGACTGATGTGTAATGACAGTCCTGGGGACAAGGTATTAAACTCTGATTGGTATGTGTGTGGGGCTTGGGGGCAGTGGGGGGGGGGGGGGAAGGACGCGGAAGCGGAAGAGAAAGAAGGCGGGGGAAGGGAGGGGTGAGGAGGACTCAAACCCAGATACACACTCGCTGACTTTCATGAACAGCGTGTACCCAGAGCACAGTGACATGGATATTTTATAGGCACTTAGAAGTATAGGTTTTTCCTCGTGAGGACTGAGGTTCCTTGGTCTAGGGGACCCGTTATCCAGGTTTGGCCCGGCTCAATTTTGTGGCAAGGTCGAACCACAGAGTACCTAAGTCTTTGACTGTACACAGTGAAATAATATTTTTCGTCACGTTGGAGTATTCAGTCTGTTCATCTTTCCGGAGACTAGGAGGCACAGAGTTCCACCACCTCACCCTCGTTCCAGCAGTCCTCTTCATTTGTCACTTTTCCTTCTTCATTTGGCTTCTTAACTGTATAATGGATATACACATGGTCAGTTACCTCTCAGTAATGCTAATGATTTAGTTAATGATATTATGGGCTTGGTAAATTAAAAATCATGATCGGAGTTACTAACCATTGTGAAAAGAAAAAATGAAAACCTTAACTGTAGGGAAACATATTGTATAGAAATATTTTTGGAAATTCCATTCAATACCCAGATCATCTGGATTCAGACCAATTTCCTGGCTACTTTGGTTTTTGTTCTTGTTGTTTGTTCGTTAGCAAACATTTTTGAAGCACTTACCTGCTTTTTACACATGTTTTCTCACATAAACCTTATACAACTCTGTAAAGAAGGTATTATTATTTCTTTTCCACTTTAACAGATGAGAATATTAAAGGTGAGAGGAATCAAGTAACTTGCCACAGGTCACAGAGAGAGTCAGGATAGAGCTGAGAGTCGATCCCAGGCGGCCTAGCTCCAGAACCCATGCTGCTGAATACTGTGCCGTACCGCATGCCCTGTATACACAGATAAATCTGTGGTGCCTTCACTTTTCTGAACAAAGTCCTTGTGACCTTCCTCAGTATGGCCCATTTCCTCTCCCCTAAATATAGCAAGTCTTGCCGTACCCCAGCTCTCGTGTTACTCTGTCACACAGAGCAGCAGTGCCTGATGAGTGTAACAGTAGAAGGGCTGTAGTGGCCCAGGAGCTTAAGGAGCGTGTGAAAACCTCCCTTCAGAAGCTTGCCCAGAGTTGCCATTGAGACCTCCTGTGCTTTGGGGGGCTGTGAGTTCATGAATGGAGTCAAGTTACTAGCTCTCAGATGGACAGAAGCGCACTGCCTTTGTGAGGACTGCTGCGATGGGCAGCAACCTTCTGCTGACTTCAGGATATTTCCTGGCGTCTGTTCAAGTAAGAGCAAAGCCTGCTGGGGTTACAGTTCCTATTAAAGTCAGAGCAGATAGCAGGTACACATGATACTTTCTCTACTTTGCTCCTTCACATTTCCCTTAACAGGAAGAGTAGGAAGGGACTGCAATAAAAGAATAACTACAACTTATAAACTCCTTCAATCAGTTTATGGTCTAAATGAAACAAAACAAAACAAAACAAAACATTACTTAAGTGTCTACCATGTGCCAGGACTAGACACTAGATAAACCAAGGGAAGAAAAATGATGTGTTCCTGACCTCTTGGAGTTTAAAGTCTAGTGAAGGAAGACAGAAGATTAAAAGGGGAGTATCTACAGACAGACAGGCATAATTATCACCGAGAAAAGTGCTAAAAAGATCAAGACTTCGTTATGCTGCATAGAGATTCAGAGTGAAAGCTACTTAGGTCAGCTCAATGGGCAGCTGGGTGCTGCAGCCCTAGCCTAGCACGTCACCTCTCCTCAGCCCACACGTGATCGCCTCCATGTTTCCTCTGGCTTGGCACAGCAATTAAAATGTTTTCCTCAGCTTTATTGAGATAGAATTGATACATAACTCTGTAAATTTCAGATGTACTATGTGATGGTTTGGTACACATGTATGGTAGAAGATGATTACCACAATAAAGTTAGTTAACACGTCTGTCACCTCATATAATCACCTCCTTTTTATGAGAAAATTTAAGATCTACCTTCTTAGCAACTTGCAAGTGGATAACACGGTATTGTTAGTTATAGTCACCATGCTGTGAATTAGCTCCCCAGAGCTTATCCATCTTAAAACTGAACATTTATACTCTTTGACCAATGTCTCTCCCTTTTCCCTTCCCCCTGATCCCTGGAAACCACCATTCTACTCTGTTTCTGAGTTTTCCCTTTTTAGATTCCACATATAAGTGAGACAATACAGTATTACTTGTCTTTCTCGGTCTGACTTATTTCACTTTGCATAATGTCTTCAGGGTCCATCCATGTTGTTGTAATTGGCAGGATTGTCTTCTTGTTTGTGGATGAATAATATTCATCCACAAAAACTCCTTCAAGAGTTTTGTGTATGTGTGTGTGTGTGTGTGTGTGTGTGTATGTAGATATATATAGAGAGAGAGATAAAGAAAATGTGATATATATATGCATCCATCAACGTACACTTAGGTTGTTTCCATGTCTTGGTTTTTGTGAATAATGCCGAACAGCCATCTTAAAGGGCTATGCTTTCCTCCCACTTGCACCCCGTCCTCCCGTGAGGCTTCTGAAGAGACCAAAGTACGTCAGCTTAGGAGATGAGGGCCTGTTCCAGCTGGGCTTCCCAGGAAAGTATCTGCCAGTCGTGAAAATGCCAATATCACTTAGTAAGCAACTTGTGGACCTGCTTCATAGCTCTGAGCATGGAGGCAGCAAGGGAAAGGTCACCCAAAGAGGCAGCTGTGCATGTGTATTAAACACTCATCAAAATCAAATGACAAAACCATAAGCCAGGAAAACAGAAATTAAAAATATAAAAGGCAAATGCCTTCAAAATTTTATTTTTAAAGTCCAGCTGTTATTTGGCTTGAATATGACAAGACAGCATTTCTTGTTCACCATGATATTTATAAAACTACAAATTCATTGGTGCTGGGGGCCTAGGAAACATGTGTAAGGTCTTGTTATACTTCGAAGCAGTTGAAGGCTTACTGTGTACTGAGCACCCGAAACGTGTTAGCTCCTATGTGGGACACAGAAGGAAGAGAGGACTCGATTAGTGGAGTCTGTCACCATGTATTAAGAATGATGAACAGCTGTTTAACTTTTTAGGGACTCTTCACATGGTATTTCCCCTCTCCTTGTTCTCCGGCAATAGTGCGATGCTTCCCCCAACTCTCCTAATTTCAAGGTTGCAAACTAGAGTGGAAAGGGCGCTCCCCCAGTTATTGGGAGGTTTGGATTAAGGCTCTTTTACTAAAGGATGGCAAACGAGTGACTGAGTCCTCCTTATCTTTTACAAGAGAGGTTCTGGATTCCATTATCTCTAAGTCCCCTTCCAAATCTAAGATTGGACACCGCCTGTGCTTCTTGTAGGAAAGGTGATCTGGGCACAATAGTTTCCTCTTACTTTTTTCTCAGAAAAATGAAGGAGGAGACCAATAGCTCTGAGAGGATATTTGTGCCACTTGTTGCATCCAGTGTTCAGGTCCCTTGAACTTTTCTTTTTACTAATGAGGAGCTCTCTCTGGTAGTAATTCCCAGTTGCCTTTCGCAGATGGGCCCCTCTGCTCTGTCCTCTCTTCTCTTCTCCCAGCAATAACAGTTGTGACTTGCCTTCTTTTTCATATTCTTTCTATCCTGTTTCTTCTCTCTTTCACACCTGGCATCTCTAAAGAGATATTTTCTTTTTTTTTTTTTCCCGTCTTGCAGAATATCTGGGGTAAGAAAACATTTTTCTAACACCTCTTTTAATTCCCAAATTCAATTATTGTGTCCCAGCCTCAGAGGGAGGCTGCACCTCATTTTGATGTGGGGAATAGTGGGATATGAGCT